CATTTTTGTGTCATATAAAATACATATATTTTATTGAAGAATTAAAGCGGCTTTTGTTTTACAACACTATGTATCACTAGAAGTTACAATGGTAATGTTAGCTTGTTTAAAAACAAAGAAATGTTATTAGTCGCCATTAAGTTGATTTAAGATTTATTTTGCATTTTTTTCATTACTTAGTACTTAGAAAATTCTTTCATTAGTGACACTTCTTGAATAATATTGTTTAAATCCTTTTAGTTGAAGATGCAACATTTTTTCATGGCCAACTGCGAACAAAAACCAAAGATAATTTTTGCTAAAAATGTTTGTTACAAATATATATTTTTTAGATAAGAAAAAAACAAACTTTTAAAAAATGACATAGCCATCTATGATTCCCATATAAAAAAGACAAGTTTATTTTATTACTGCTAAACAAACAACTTAAATAAATTGTTAACTACATTATTAAATTCTACGTAAAAAAGTACCTCTATAGTGTCTTTATTTCAAATCTGTGTCTTCTATAATAACGAAGATATGAWTTTTTTTAGATTTCGTTAAAATATCATAAGATGTCTATAAGACATCGATAAGACGAAAACAAAAGACGATAGCGGYATGCGGTTTTAACCAAAGCRCCAGAATGTATTACTCGTTTTTGGCTAAACCTCTTACTTTCGGAGATTCCCTATTCGGACATCCAAAATYCAGCACCCTGTACAGTTTGGGGTCAGCGTCTGGTTTAATCGAATTGTCGCAGATACGAGTAACATGTACGGGGGCGTTGCTACTCCTTTGGCGCTCTTGCATCATAACGAGATTAATGGGAGGACGAAGCATCCGCAGTTGCAGACAAGGTCGAGTTCGAGGGAGGATAGTTACAGTGGGGTGAGAAATGCAATGAGGTTGCCGCCGCTCAGGGAGGCGCCGCATAGAGACCATGGGAGTAACGGGTGCGAGAATGAGCCTTTATTGCCCACTGGGGGGTGCAAAAGGAATGGAAAGAAGGTGCAAGAGGAGAATTTGCCACCGCCGCCGCTGCCYCCACATAAGAATTCCTATCAGCAGGTGCAGAGGCAGTCATCACAGGTATTTACGATAACACTAATTTAATACGACACACAAAAAATTGAAAAAAAAAACATGTTTACTTATTACGTAGTTAGTCTCTCAATTCTCAACACAATTATTTAAAAATTTTGAAATTTGAGAGTTGAAATAGTACTAGACTACTAGAATATTATCATCCTTGAAATAATATAAACTGCTTTTTCTTTCAAATTCGTCAATTTTTTACCTTACTTGCGAAGGGAAAACTCAAGGAAATTCTAAAAATATTCAATAAATAAAGTTTTTATTTCCGTTGGTCAAAACCTTTTTGTCCCCAMTAGAAAAACGTAAAAACAAAATATATACAGGATGATTTTTTAAAAACGAGCTACCCTGGATATCTGGGATAAATAAACAAAAATTAGAAAATCTCGAGACAGGTCAATTTTTAATTTGTAGCGAGACATTTTTAGTGTTCTTTCTGAATTTGCAGTTTCTAACCCACAATTACTTCAAAATTTTAAATGGCACTACCTCCTTTGTGATACATACTTTAAATAAAAGATATTTTGASTAGGTATTCGGCTGTGTTTTTTTTGAATTTCGATTGTTTTTTTTTAATAATTACTCAATTATAGGAGGTGTTCAAAATGGTCAGGTGGCTAGATCTTGTTCAGCGTAACATAAATAAAAAATAATCAAAACTCAAACAAAATTCACAGCCGAATTCCTGGTCAAAATACCTTTTATTTGAGGTATCACAAAGGAAGTGGTGTCATTTAAAATTTTAAAAGGGTTGTTTGAAAGGAGGTTAATGCCTCAACTTTCAAAAGTATACTAAAAAGTGTTCCCCTGCAAATAAAAATTGACCTTTCTCGGGATTTTCTAATTTTTGTTTATTTTTCTGAGATATTTTAACCTGTATTTTTTTAAATATTTTCATGATCCTTAGCTTTTACTCTATTGTTAGAAACAAAAAAAGAAAATGCTCAAAATATTGAAAAATGAAAAAGATAAATAAATAGAAATAAAAAAATAAATAAAAATGTGGTTTTAAGTAATTCTTTGCACATTTGGAAAATTTAAACAAAAATAAAATAACAATTATTCTTGTAAAAAAAAAGAATAAACAAAAAATTCAAACTTTAATTTATTCTTTGTTTACTTATTTGAATCAGAAATAATGAAACTTAAAATTATTATACCAATGGAGTGGGGTTTGAAAAATAAAAAAAAAAAAAAACACAAAGCAAAATTTGTATTTAGTTCTACTTTTCATAAAGTTAATTATCCTGAAAGCAAGATRATGTGTATTTTTCTGCGATTAGTTTTACTCACCCTGAATCACCCGATATAGAAATTAACAGAATAATTGTGTTGTTCGTTTTTCGTTTTGTAATTAAACAGTATTTGTACGGACTCTCATCCTCTCCTCCTTTCTTCCTAGCGTCTTAACGAAATACACTACATTGTTTGCTTGTCATCCTATCTGAATCAGTCCCTATACATGTAATAATAAATTTCGTGTTGCTTTTTTTTGGTACGACTCATTATTTTACGTAGTTCAGTTTGTATAGAGGCTGTTTCAGAATTTGCGCTCCAGAGAAAAGTGCCATGTAAAATAAGATACCAGAAACATGGAAAAAATGTTATAAATWCTATCTAGAGTYTGTCCCCGGATAGGTGAAACGACTCTTGTAAAAGAWAAAAAATCCTCGATTTAAATTTMTATTTTTTGGGGRTCAGCCCTGCTTGGGTAAAGACTAATTTCTAACATCATTTTAGTTTTGAAAAATCAAGTAGGTATGTCTTGAAAATTTTCAAAAAACCTATTTTTCTATAGAGTAAAGTGCCTTTTGTGTGGCAAATATGAAAAGAAGTCATTAAGAAAAGCTGTATTAATTTATTGTATTAAATAAATAACTTTTTAACGTTTCTATTAATAAGAAGCAATGATTTTGAAATGTAGTGTAAGGGCCTAGATGTTGATTTTAAACAACTTTACTTAACAACTTTTTGTCATATTTGCGACATAAAAGGCACTTTACTTTACAAAAAATATATAGTTRTTTTGAAAATATCCAAGGCATATATTTAATTTTTCTAAACTAAAATTATCTTAGAAATTTATCTTTTTACAATAGAAATTTATTTTTTACCAGAGTCATTTCACCTATCCAGGGACACACTGTATATGTATATTTTTAATGATTAATTCAATGGCATATCGACTCTTTCCACGGCTTGAATTTCTTGTCTAATCACCAATTTTCTAAAATTTTACAAATATTTGAATTTATTTGAATTTTGGTTAGATTTGTTGTCGTTATGAAAAAAATGTTGATTTTGTAGAAAGCCAAAGTAGCTGCTAGACTTCTTTTGCAAATTTCTCTTTCCTCCTAGCGTGTTTTTGCAGGACATGCGTTACACTCCACCGTGGCCTCGCGCTCCGAATCCCTACTCTGCAATACCAGTGAGACCATCTGAGAACATCAAACCGTATCTTAAACCCCTCCCCAAACCCCCCGGCAAGGAATCTCCCAATCGCCACCACCGTAAACATCACAACGGAGGCGCTGGCCCTGTCCCACCTCCTCACCAAATAATCGCACCTTTGCCACATCAAAACATCCCTGAACGGACTCCTGAACTCCTCCGCAATAAAATCCAAACACGACATAATCCCCTCCAAAACCGACACAGTCCTCTACACTCGCGCCACAGCCCCCATTCCAACCGCCACAGCCCTCTACAAAGACACTACTCGGATGAGAGTCTAGGGGGGCTGTACACCACCGGGGTTCCACAACGAATCCATTCGTCGGCTGATGAAATCAGTTCGTTGAATCATTCGCCGAGCATCAGTAGTTCTGATGAGAGTTATAGCAGGACGACTGATGCTGACGCTTCTCCTTGTGTCTCTCCACCTCTACCTGCTGATACTCAACAGTTCCTATTTCCGTCTGATATTCAAGTGAATCCGTGTTCGTCGCCAGAAGTCTCACCGAGGGCTTCGTTGGATTATATTCCTGCGAATTGTTCGTTGAGGAACAGTTCGAGTGATAGAAATAACACTAAAAGGAATAATTTACCACCAAATGCAGTTTTGGCACTTGCGGGGACTTGCAATACCGTTGATTCATCAATTGTGACAAGTCCGCCGGTCCTCGACGGTGAAGACAGTTGTAAAGGGGAGAGTTGTGCCAGTTTCGAGTTTGTTACRCGACCAAAAACCAAACCCACGTCACTACTAAGAGCAAACAGCGCCAACGGTGCTGTTTCCAAACTCCCAATCAAGCAGAAAAGTCTCGATAAGCGCATAAGAAATGACAGCGATTCGGTTTTGGAGTGTAATAAATTATCYGCAAACTCTAAAAGATCCCCTAGCTTCAAAGAAGCTGAAGAAATTCGAGAATTACTCAAAGAAGACGAAACGAGAAACCTTGCCGGTGAAAAGAGTTTGAAGAAAGATGGTTGTTGTCAGACTGACAAAAAGGATTTGAGACGCTTTAAGACCTCCCCATCGGGCTTTCGGGACAAGATTTCTCCCAATAACAAAGTGAACAACACCGACAACGAGAATTTGATTGGTCCCTTCGAACGCGAGATCCAGAAACTCCTCGACGAGCAAAATCTGCTTCAGAATATCCCTCCAAAATTCGAACTAAACCAACAGAACAAAGATCTAGCTTTGGAGCCTTTAGTAAGGTACGCTCCAAACAATAACAACCACCAGGTGGGGCTAGCGGCGATCCAAGCTCTAGCTCTAGGCTTGAGAGTGAATCCTACCGGCAGTGTAACCCTCCAGTGCATGTCCCCTCCTAGAGCAAGCAGCAAAGAGGGATCGCTTAAGCGGGGAGCATCCCCTGGACCGTCCGAATCTCATAAACAGCCAAAAGTCTCGCCTCTTGACAGGTACAGAAACACTAACATCGTGTTTCATTAAATAGCGAGAGACAACTCATTGTTTTTATTTTCTGGGTGTCTTTAGTTTTAGTTGGTTTGTGTCTCGCTATGTAGCTTCACTCAGCTTCATTAACACTCATGCTGCTTGCTCGGCACACTCATGCTTGCAGATCATTCATTTCTCAGACATGTTTTGGCAATTTTCAAATAACTTTTGATTTTTGTTGTTGATTAGAGCTCCGAAATCGGCTGAAGAAGTCGATGTTGACTGTGATATGCCGGAAGTTCATAAAAGAGACGACGATACTGATCTGGAGAGCTTCGAGCGCGAGGAACAACGCATGGAGGAAGAAGCAGCAAGGGTGAGTTGTCTACTTGTCAAAATTTAATAAATTTGTTCAAATTTAATGTTGTTGTGACAAGCAGCCTGTGGATCGAGAGTTGGTAAAATCTTCAATGTTTAACAATTATCTAAACAATTTGTATCAATCGCGCTTACAGGAGGAGGAAGTTAAGAGACTCTTGGAAGAGAAAGTGCAAGAAAAGTTGAGAAATCTCGAGAATGGGGACTTGGAGAGCCAAGGAGTCGAAGGAAGTCAGTCGGAATGGTCGGAAGATGAGGATGGAGGGGCTTCTGAACCACTTCTGAATGATAGAGAGTCGACGGGTTATACTACGGATGATCCAGCGCTGGAAAATATTTCTATGATTAACGAAACTGGACTCACCGATGCTGAAGGTGACTCAAAATTTTTTAAATTTATTTTGGAGTTATTTATGAATTGTTTAGGAGCCCTTAGCGATGTGAATTCTGCTTATAACGACCACAACCATGAGGGCGACATGGATGACAACACCAGCATGTCCTCCCGCGCCTCTTCGCGCATCTTCGACTCTGACGCCATGATGTCTCTGGATTCTCTAAGTGCTCTCTACGACTCCGAATACGATAATTGCTATCGAACTGATGACGATCTAAATGCAGTACCTGACCTCGACAGACTTAACTATTTTTCAGTGCCTGCGAATGACGTTCATCTCGCAAATATCCGATCAATGAGTGAGAGTATTACTAGAAACTTTGGACAGCCTCGAAGTGAAACGGATCCAGATAGTGATGTTTGAAGTAGGTGTGATCGTTTAGGACTAAAAATTTTGTAAAAGTTGGACGATATTAATCTGAATGTATATTGATTAGAGATGCGTTTACAAGATCGGAGGGTGATTATCTTGTTAGATGTTTTGATCAAAATTTTTTCGTATTTTGGTTGATATTTAGACTAYACTCGCAATGGTGCTTCTAGCGCGAAGGGACTGATACTTTGTGATTTTTTATTAGGCAGCTCTCTATCAAGCTGGATATCACCCACGTAGTTGGTTTAAACCAAAGAATGCAATTTTTTACATTAGTGATATCTTTGTTGTGTATTAAATGATAATTTTATTACTTAACGGGAAAATAGTGGCTCAATAATTTGTATAAATCTCGCTAATGGCGTCTCTTATGTATATAATACTGTTTTAGTTGATTTTATTTATTTATGGAACATATTTTATTTGTTACCATCAAGGATGCAATATTTTGTATTTAATTATATAGTTTATAATCATTAGTAATTTTAAATTACTGATGTACTTAAATTGAGTTTTATACATTATTTTTCTCTTATTTAAAGACTTTTGTTACAGATACATCAGATGTATTATTTGTTAAATTCTATCTTAAACTGGATTTTTAATGGAATTTTTCTTTTCTGTGATCACCATTTCTAAATGTAGCACTGAATAATTGGTGGTTTGTAAATATTTCTATTTTCTTCGAAATATCCGATCTTGGTGTTTATTATTATTGTTGTTCTCTTTGTATTTCCTTTTTTCTGTAATTATATTTTCTACTATTATCTGTAAAGACTCTAAAATTTGATCATAATATGTGTTGGAAAATTTTTAATGATTTATTAAATGCTTATAAAAGTAAACTAAATACATTATCAAAACAGCGTTTTTTTTTTCACATCCCATTCCGTACTCATTTCACAAAATTTACTTAAAAGCGGGGAATCAAAGCATATGCTTATACCGATTACGGCTCTCAGTTATCATCAACTGTCGCCTGAAATAATTAAATTTACAAATATTTAATATGTACTAGACAATGCATTTCATAGTTATGTATGTACCGCAATAGAAACAGCATTTTTCGAAGCATATTTGAGAACGAATATGATGGCATCTATATCAAGAGATGGACAGTGCAGTACATACTTCAGAAATCATGCTGTGTCAAGCAAATCAATCTCAATTAAAAATAAAAGTCTATTTTTTCGTTTGAGTTATATTTCGCGAGCAGAATTGTGTTGTGACAAAAATTTGTATACGTAAACTTGGTAAACATTTTTTGACTTCGTCGGCGGTGGCACCGTCTGGTGGTTCCAAAGTTTTACTCCCTTCCATTAAAAAAGTGAAATCATTTAATGAACGGTTTTTCTAAAAACAAAAACTACTACATTACAGAAACCTGTAAAATATTTGCCTGTCAATCTTTCGTAACCTAACCTTATTTTTCTTAATTCCTTTGTACTGGTATCACAAAAATATATTTGTTATTATTTATAACATTTAAATTTCAGTCGAAACAAATACACAAGAATAGAATACAAATGGCCGGAAGCAAAGGCACATTTCAGCCAGATTCTGATGTCCACATTTCCTATGAAGACCAGCAAAAAATTAACAAATTTGCACGTTTAAATGCGAAGCTTGAAGACCTTAAAGAAGAAGTCAAGGTGAAAGAGAATGACTTGAAAAGCTTAGAAGATGCATGTGATGAAATTGCATTGTTTGATGAAGACGAGAAAATTCCTTATTTGGTAGGAGAAGTATTCATTCTCCAAGACACTGAAACAACACAGAAGTGCTTAGATGAAGCGAAAAAGAGAATAGAAGAAAACATTAAAGAATTAAAAGGTCAATCAGATGATGTAAGAAGTCAAATGAGTGATTTGAAATCACATCTTTATGGAAAATTCGGAAGTCATATTAATTTAGAAGCTGAGGATGAGTGATGGTTTGTTAATGCGAAACGATTGAAAACATTTTTTAAACTTATAATGGCAAATTTTTCTTCTAATGTTACTAATTGCGAAATCTCAACTGCTTAACATAATTTTCACTCTGATGTCGCAAATAAACTTTTTCTGTAATAACGATTGTAATACAATATAGATAAATTAATCAAATTGTGTTTGTTTTTCAATTTTTCGATTAAAACATTTTGTCTTATTTTTTACGTTTAGTTTTCCAGCTAAAATGCCATTTTAAAAATATTGAGAATAACGACGCCCGAGAATATTTGCAAAATACTCTTGCATTATCAACCTTTGCTTATTTCCATCGCTGTTGTGCTAGGGGCGTTTATTCATGAAGGAATAATTTATTCCTTCATCTGTTTATTACAACTCCATAACTTTACTGGTTGGTAATGCAAAGACAATTCTCGTGTTCTCGTATATTCTGTAGAATCTATATTCTCGCCTGCGCAATGGATCCTCAAGAAGACGACAAATGTGTTTTTAGTCCTATTATAATTTTTATAACTTCTGTAATGTAACAGAAATTTTTATTTTTAATTCTTTTTGTCGCTCAGCGTAACTATTTCAATAATTCTTTGTGAAAGAGTGGGTATGTATCTCTTCCTCGCATTTAGGACTATGTGTGCGTAAGGCTTCCTGCCCTTGTTTTAAAACAAGAGTTCTGCTTTTTGAGGTTATCTCATATTTTTTCGCACTCAAATAACTTGTCTTAAAGACTGTGAGAAATACATTTACACCCAAGAGTTAGAACTTTCCATGCAAGTTCCAATCCCCAACAATGAGCAGTGGAAGCAGCGAAGAAGACAACGAACCCCGACAATCCCTGCACCGAGTTGCTAAAAAATCCACAACCAACACCAGACCATACCCCAGCCGTATCAGAATACCAGGATCTCAGAAAACCCTGACTGTAGCCAACCGATTTTTGGAAAATTTCAATCCTGAAACGAGCATCCGCGAAAAACGGAAATTAAATCGTAAAATCAATCCGCCAAGTAACGTACGGCGACCACCGGGGGCTCTCTATGACGAGAATGGAATTCACATCGCCACTTGCATGGATCTTTGTGATTGTTTAAATGAGGATTGTGTGGGATGCTTCCTTCCATGTCCCAAGTGTGGCTCAAGGAAATGCGGGATAGATTGTCGTGTGCATAGAAAATATGTCTATGATCAGATTGAGTATCACGGCTACGATATTGTAATAAAAAATCCTTTGTTTAGGAATTGAAATTCAAGGATTTATTGAATACTGTAATCATCTAGTGTTTTGTCGTATTATTCTATTTTATCTAATTGTATTACCTATAATGGAAATTAGAAACGCGTTAGTGATTCTATTTCATTTTATTTATATTTCTCAAAATTATTAGTTTTGTGGTACATCGTAATAAATAGTGATAAGCATTAAGTTGTTTTATTTATCCTATTTATTAGTTCAATATTGCGACACAATTTTAATTTTTTGCTCAATTATTACACCACTACTAGTACTTTACTCCACTTTTTAACTTTGGTATCTCATGAATAAAGCTCGGATTATATGCACGAAAAAATCATAAAATATGCGCATATAGTATATGCACGTATTTTCACAAAAATATGCACAAAATATTAAGAAATATGCTCCAATATATGCCAAATATGCATCGATTTGCAAAATTTTGAACAATAAAAAGTCAAACGTATTTATTTTTTGAAAAAAACTAATTGATGAATTATAAAGTTTTATAAAAATATGATGTTTTATCAAATTTTTCGCAATTTTTGTTATTTTGTTTTTGAGTTTTACAAAATTATTTTTTTAATGGAAACCCACCAAAAAAAACATTTTTTTCATGAAGCTTATGATCTAAGAGATTACAACAACTATCTACTTTGTATTAAATTATTTTTTTACATATATCGCAATTTAGACAGCAAAAATCGAATAACTCAAAAAGAAAACAAAATTTTGTTCTTAAAATAAGATCATTTTTTATATTACTTTAATTTATATTAATTATTATTTTTTGGAAACAAATGATTTAAAAAAAAACGCTTGGTTCAATACAATTTAAAAAGGAGTTTGGCTTACGAATTACCGGTTGTTTTCTCTTTAAAATATTTTGTAATCGGATCATTTTTCATAAACTGTCCAATTTTTAACTTGAACTAAAAATTTTAATCGGAAATTAGTGATTTGAAGAAAATATGCACAAATATGCAATATTTCCTAAAATATGCACCAAGTTGCCAAAATATGCAAAATATGCATTTTTTATTTGGTTTATTTTAATTATAATTAAAAACATTAGATATGCATAGAAAACTTACAATTTTGTTGATATACCTCTTAATAACAAATATGCATTTTGCATATAATCCGAGCTTACTCATGAAATAATTCTCAAGAAATGTAGGTAAGAAACTGGTGAAATGTGTTATAAGTGCGTAATTATTATGCACAAAATAATAATTACAGGAATGCCAATTAAGCAAGTAAAATGCAATTAAAATTAAACATTTTATTTGAACAAAAAACGTAATTTTGTTTTACTTGTCACTTCTTTTTATTACATAGTACTTTAACCGAAAAATAATTACTTTCTTGTTTTTTGAATTCATTTTATTTACCTACTGATGACTGATGGGTTGCCGTACAACACACACAAGAATACCTTAATGTTTAACTTTCATCAACATAGAACTTTTTCCTTTCATATAGTTCATAAATAAATCTTATCTTTCGTTAATGCATTAACGGGTTTTTAATTCTACGTTATGATCCCAAGAAACCTACTTTAATTCACTGTAAACAAGATGAAAAAAATAGAAGCGTGAGAAAAACGTAATGTGGTGAGATTCGACAGATACTTAAAAATAAACAATAGATTATAAAACAAACACTCGACTCCGCCAACGAGTTAAAATGCAATTTAAATCAATTTTCTCTTCAACATAGCAGGAATAAAAATGCATCAAATTTTCTTTATGAAATACAACATACAACTTCGATCCTCATAAATTTTAAATTTATGTGAAGCATGAAACAGTGTTATTGTTGTAAGGGTTTCCATAACGACGCTTTCTATGGGTCGAAGTTGATGGCTACAAGCGACAAAAACTGTGTATTTTCTTGTGCTTATTTCCAATACTATTTAATAATCGGCAAATAAAAAAAATAAAAATAATTTCACATCTAAACCCGTTTATTGTATACCTAGTGGGAGGAGGTAAGAATAAAACACAACAAAATATTTACATTTATAAGTAGTTTTACTATTCTCTTCCATGTAGATAAAATTGGGGGAAAAATTCGTTCAGAAATAATTACAAACTGGAGCGGCGAGTATAGAATCAACAAAACTATTTTTATCTATTCACACACATCGTACTTTTTTCTTATGGAATGAAATGATATTGTTAAAATGTTTAGAAGACTTGTTTTTACTTTGTCAAATATCACAACAATTAGTGATTTATTCGCTGAAACTACAGTACAGGATTATACATAAAGGTGATTCAAAAATTGTGTTTAATAATACTAAGTGCCTTAGTAGACTGTTTTTAAATTTTAAATAAGTATGTTTTTGTATAAGATTTATCATAACTTCTGGAATTTGTAAACTTAATTAAAAGAAAATTTAAGAATTTAAGCCAATATTGAACTAAGTAATTACATTCATTGTAATTAATGTTTCCACAAAACTTGCCCTAAACTATAATAACTAATAAGGGTTGGTAGATGTAAAAATTACATCAAGAAACTGTAGACATAAATGGGAAAAATTATAGTGACTGTATTAATTCAGTCACTGTAAGAAAAACTAGTTTATTATTATAATTATTATGGGGGTGTAAACACACATTTGACCCTATTTATTTGTATTTATTCTTATCGACAATATTGCAACATGTATTTAAGTAAAAAAAGCACAAAAACATTAACCATAACAGCACATTGCCCTTTAAAATACAGTTTCTTTGTTTGCTTTACTATAATGGCATGAATAAATAAACATATGAAATTAAATATTTTTTCAATTGAAATAAATAGGGTCCAATATTCAAGCTTTAAACCACTAATCCAGTATAATTAGGTACCCACTAATTTATTATTGATTCTTTTAACATTGTTGTCACTGTTTGTATGCCATTTTTGTTAATAATGTTAGCCTAAATCATATTTGAGTTTATTTTACAAAGAAATAAGAAGTGTTCATCATGATGTTTTTTCTCATCCTGCACAACTAAAATCGAATTTTTGTAATCATTCGGTAAATATAGGTAGATATACAATATTTTGTTTTCAACAATACAGTAGAACCTCTACAATCCGGACTAATTACATATTGCAAAGGGTTCTTTGGTTTAGCGATTTTTTGGATTATCAAATAAACTTTTTTTTAATTAAAATTATTATTAAAAAACTAAAATGTGTAAGTATACACTGTGTCAATTTCAAAACTTGCAATCGACAATTTCTCTCAACTGAAAAAGTTATTAATAATCACCCAAAACCGTTTTGGTGGTTCCTAGGGGGAATTAAAATGACATGATAAGTGACACACCTCCACCCACCCTTGAATATAATAAATAAAATGAAAATTTAACGTCTTCGTTTTTGAATAATTGGAAAAATGGCTTTACCAAATAGGCTGTTGTATGACATTTTTGAAAAGCACTTGTTATAGGCTTTCCAACGATGTATCGCAAGTAGGTACGTGCCATTTAAAATTTTCAACTTAAGGTGGCTGTGGCTTGAAGGGTGGGTGCAGGAGCGTCACTTACCATGCCATTTTGATTGCCCGTAAAAACCACCGAAACGGTTTTGAGTAATTTTCAATAACTTTTTTAGTTCTAGAGATGTTGTCGATTGCAAGTTTTAAAATTGACACCCTGTATGTACTTATTTATTTAAAAGAAAAGTAGAATCACATATAAATTACTGACATGTAGCGAACCCCTATAGAGGGTGGAAGTTTCCGGTTTTGGTCAGTAAGAAGAAACAAGCATAATACCGTGCGATCGAAAAAAAAAAAATAAATTAGAGTAGGCGGTGATTAAAGTCCTTCAGATGGCAATCCTGATTTTTGACTTGAAATGTCAGCGGAAACTTTGACAACTTTGCGTTTTATTTTGAGTAAATTAATGTTCGCTTTAAAGCAGTAAATTTTTATTGTTGCAAGTTATTACATAAATGCTATATAAGACGAAAATGGTGAATGGTCATTTTCACTTCCAGTTTTCCAGTGGAAAATTTCCAGCAAAAATTGTTTCCAACTATCGAATATTAATCGTCGCCTGCTCTAATTTATGATTGCACGGTACTATAATGAAGTTATTTTATAAAAAAAAAATGAATAACCACTATTCAGATTATTATACAGGGTGATTCTTAAATAAATCGACAAAATTTTATTCTTGATAGTATCAAATGAGTACATGCTGGAGAAAATAGTAAAATATTCTTTGTTTAACTGTTCTTGAAATAAAATTCATTAAAGTTATTTTCGAGGTAAGGCGTACGCCACTGATGTGTTCGTAAATATTATTAGCACAGATAGAAACCATGGTAATTAATTTGATGAAAATGTACTTGATCACTGCAACAATTCATAAACGCCGTAAGTGGCACGAATCAATGGGGTTCTGCCCCTAAAGGATATAAACGTAAAAAGGTTGTCTCCATTTATCCTTGGGAAGCTGTAATAAAATTTTCTGGATCTATTTAAGAATGACTGTAGATCGATGATGCACTCGATGTTCGTATTGCAAGAGGTTCAGATTAAAGAAGTTTGATAACTGTATTAGAAATGAACAACGTTTCAATCTAATAGCTCTAAATATAACATTGTTTCATAATTAGAAAAAATTAATACCCAATACATAGTTGTATTCAACATTTTTATTCTTGAAATTTAACGAATACTATCCTCACCTAATATTCTATTATGTATGTATAGTTATACCAGGTGAATAAAAAGTATGGAACCAAACGTTTTTTGCTTAAACTATTTATTTTTTGAAAAAACTAATTGATGAGTGATAAAGTACTATAAAAATGTGATGATTTAACAAGAATAAAATTTTTCGAAATTTCCTTTTGTTTTTGAGTTGTACAAAATTTTGTATTTTTTTAAATGGCAACCCACTATAAAATCATTTTTCTCATAACAGCTATACTCTAAGGATTACAACTACCTGCTTTATATTTAATTAAAAAAAAAATATTTCACATAAATTGTAATTTTGACAAAAAAAAATCGCATAACTCAAAAACAAAACAAAATTTCGTTCTGAAAATACGATCACATTTTTTATATTACTTTAATTTGTATTAATTATTATTTTCTGGAAGCAAATGATTAAAAATAAAACCGCTTGGTTCCATACTTTATATTCACCCTGTACATGTGTAAGTA